CAATTCTCGGTAGCTTAAGATGATTCAAAAGGTAAAAGTGCAGCTTGTCCTAGAATGGATGATTTCACAAAACCATGCCTCCCAAAATGTTGTCTCATAAACACCTTTGGGACGGCAAGACTGAATGAAGTTGAATGGCATCGCGAAGCCTATTCATGTCAGAGTGGAAAAAGGTCACCATTAGTCGTTCTGCCACCTTAATCCCTTCTATTCAAGAATTACTGGTAATTTATGAACGCACATGAAACTGTCCCACCCACTGCCTGCCCTCCTAAACCGGAAAGATTATAAATCAAACAAGGGAGAGAGAGAGCTAAGGTTCGACTAGAAAATGATATTCTAATTACTAAAATATCCAAAACAAGATACGGAAATATCTAATAAACTCACTTTATGAGCCAGAATGAAAAAAAAACAAAATATTTAAGGCCATTGCTAAGAATATCAACTCCATAAAATCGACCTAACTTTGCCAAATTCACGTTGAGAAAACCTTTTAAAGGCGGATAGAAAGCGAAAATACTGACATATCTCGTTTTTGCTATTTGTCCGTGTCGTCGTGGAGCACATCTTGTCTAAATTCCTCTTCCATGAGTAGTCATGACGATCTTCAGCATCGTATCATGGGCTTGGTACATTCTCAGACGTTTCTTAGTCGGCCTTATCAATGAGTCTTTTTGGCATGAAACGTCTGAGAATGGGTCCATTCCACGGTATGATGCTGGCAGTTGTCATGACTACGCATGAAACGTAACTTCGGACAGAATGAGCCCTTCGGAGTCGCCCTGACAACACGACCAAGTTGCGAAAAACAAGGCCAAGCCACTTCCATTCAGCAAAAGGAGGCTGTGACCAAAATACTAATTACGAAGAATAACTGGGCTTCGATGAGTCTATTGAAATGACATTTTAGGGAGACTTTTATTTCGTATGAAAGTTTATGATGAAGCGATTCTAAAGTCGACATTCCGGTTGACACATACCCACGAGCCACATTCATGTTTGCAGAACTTTTCGTTTCTTATTCATGGCGATTAAGGGACTGGAAGTTGAATTTCCCCACAACTTTGTGTGATTCGGAGATTCCTGGTTGCATCACCACAAAGGAATATCACCTTTAGACACATTTCACTCGACTGGAGGCGCTTACAATTCCAGTGAATTTCGCATAGCCTTGCTTTCCGCCGAATTCACATCTTCCCTGTGACGTGTCAAACTTATACGCTGCACCGGCACAATTCGAGCTCGAGTCCCGCCGGTGGTGCTGACGAGACCAGTTCGGCCGAGGTCGAAACTGCAGTCTACTCCAGCCGGAACGGGAAGACCTGTTGGGAAGCAGGATCGTGTGAAATTCAACGGAAGCGTGAGGCCTACTCACACAATTGTGGGAAAATTCAACTATAAGTGCTTCATCAGCTTCACGAAATGCTTATTAATTTTCTTTAAAAGTTTTTCCTACTATTTCATGCTGTAGTTTGGCAGATTGGTGGCTAGTATGTGGGTTTGTGGTGTGATTTGTGTGATTTATACACGCTCCGTCATCCCTTGCGGCAAAATGTATCTTCTCCTGTCTCCCTGCCCAGTGGCGAAAGGTGTGTGCTCATGTTGGTCGCGAAAACGAGCTCAGACCAGGCCACAGACGACAAGTCGCCCGAGTGGGATTCGGACAACCCATTGGCCCACCTGGTGCGCTCTTTCATCTCGGGGTTGCGATAGACCAGATGCTGAAGGTAGGCGGCCGCATTGGCCTCAACCTCGGAGTCGCGAGACTGCAACAGCCGCACCAACTGCGGCACATCCAAGCCCGAGGCGCCACCGCCTGGCATCCGCAGCAGAGCCGCGCCGTTGGCGTTGGCGTTGGCGTTGACGTCGGCGTTGGCGGCGTCGTTGGCGTCGGCGATGGCCGCACGACCGGAGAAGCCTTTGTCCGAGAGCGGCAGGCCGAGGGCTCGGTGAAACCGCGGCTGGGCCGGCCTCGGCTGGCCGGACGAGAGTGCGTACGAGTCGGTCAGGCTGTTGGTGAGGCGGTCCGAAAGCGAGGCCGAATGGCCGAACCGAGGGCTGGGGCTGGAGGCCATGTCGACGAGGGACTCGGCCGGCTGGAAGTGCAGGCTTTGGGCGGCCAGGGGCCCGAAACCGCGGCTCAACCCTGCGGAAGTCGCGTGGCCGGCTGGAAGCATGAGAAGACGGCACAAAAATGGACATCTCAAAAAATATATCATCTTCATTCCTTTTCTGCTAGTTCCTTTATCACATGTCAAAAAGGTTTAGCTTAAACCATCACGAAGACAGTAGCAACTGGCCGAAAGAGATAATCCGAGATCCACCCTCAAATCACTTCACAACACACACACACACACACAAAATAAATAAAACATCGCATCGCTAATGGAACGGGTCAGACGGTCACTTCTGAAAGAATAGTTGTGATTTTTCGTTTAATAATCAAGTTTTCGAGACCACCAGTAGGTCATATTTGAAGGGTTTTCACCCTATTTCGCTTAACGACGTCGTCTAATTTACCCAC